TCAGTTGTCAATATTCCTTTAGATAAGATTGGGGTCTGCTGTTCATTTTTTGTTTTAACCCTCCCAGCTCCTGACAACTTATCACAACAGCCCTAGGACACCGGTATCACCCATTATAATTTGAGTCTGACAGTTGTCCTATAGGCTCATGATTTGAATGCTTGTTCCCCAGCTTTTGGCACTGTTTTGGAAGGCTTTGGAACCTGCAGGAGGCAGAATCTAGCTGGAGGAAGTAGGATTCTATGAGCAGGTTGTCATGGTTTGCTTTGATTATTAACTTGACACATCTGAGAAGAGGGAACTTCAATTGGGGAATTTCCTCTATCACATTGGCCTGTGGGCATGTCTATGAGGCCTTTACTTGATTTTTGAGTGGTGGGGGAGGGCCCAGTCTACTGTAGATGGTGCCACTCCTGGGCAAGCAGTTGTGGGTTATATGAGAAAGCAGGCTGAGCACAGATCAGAAGAACAAACCAGTAAGCAGCATTCCTCCGTGGTCTGTGCTTCAGCTCCTACCTCTAAGTTCCTGCCCTGACATCCCTTAATGATGAGCTATGACCTGGGAGATGTAAGATGAAATAGGCCCTTTCCTCCCTTAAGTTGCTTTTGATCAGAGTGTTTTATCACAGCAATAGAAAGCAAACTAGAAAATTTGTCTTTGAGAAAATTATTCCTGGCCTCTGTTCCCTTCTCGCTGCTTCCTGGTCCTGCTCATGCTTCCATGGGCTGAGTTGCTCCATTGTGCCCTCCCACCAAAATGGATCAAAGCTCTCGGAAACCATAAGCCAAAATAATGTTTCTTCCCTTAAGTTGTCAGGTATTGTGGCCAGCGATGCACAAGTGACTATTACCCCACCCCCTTAGACCTTGCAGGGCCAACATTGCTTACTTCAATATAAGCAAAGTCATTTCGAAGGTGAAAGTAGTGCTGCCTGGAACTTTCCATCTTCACTTCTAGGAAGTGGTCTTTCGTCTTCTGGAAAACAAACACAGTCCAGTTGTGAGGTTGTGAGGTCGGGATGATCCTTCCCCTTACCTGCCCTGTGCCCTATCTCAGAACCATGTCATGGAGCTGAGCAGAGGGGAGCTGAGCAGAGGGGAGCCCAGCTGGGTCTGAGCCTCCTGGAGGCAAAGGGTGTAGGCTGCTATGGCCACTCACCAGCTGAGCCCCAAAGAGCTTCCTGGGCATTGGTACATCCACTACAGCCCTTTCGGTGAACCTGGGGTAAGCAGTGGCTGTGCAGTCGCTGACGCCTGCATTCCTTGGGATCAGAGCTTTAATCTTGATTCTCTCACAGCCCTTCACAGAGCAGAAGGCAAATTTCTCCCTTTCGTTCTGGGCTTTTAGCTTCAAGAAGAGCAACCTGCACACAGGAGGAATCCGAGTGTTCCTTTGGGTATTTAGAACTCCCTCCTCATCTAAGTGAGGCATGGTGGTTCCCGCTTATCACCCCAGCACTTGGGAAGCAGAGGTGGAAGGTCCACCCCAAGTTCAAGGCCAGACTGGTCTACATTGTGATTTCAAGTCCAGCCAGGACTACATAGCAAGCCATTGTCACAACAACAACAAAAACAAACAAACAAACAAA